TCTGTTGGTTGGTGATCGGAGACTCATCCACTTCACAAATGACCTCACTGACACCAGGCTTCCTGAGGCCAGTGGACCGAATGAGTTGGAAAAGCCTGTGAGTGTTACCAGAGAGGGCAGCAGTCTCCATCTCTAAAGCACGCTCAGACCACCATGTCTCGCGATCCTTGCGGAGGCTTTGCTTAAGCAGCCGGTTGGTAGAACGGCGCCGCTCGTTGCAATCTGATTCCGCGGAGATATCTTTGCGGCGTTCGAAGAGCTCCAGAGAACGAGCAGAGATCCAAGAATTCAAAGGGCGTCGAGTTAGACCGCAGTATGACTGTCCGGAAATGGTCAGCGCTTTCCGTATACAAGTCCAGTGTTGTTCCACTTCTCGCGGTGGATTGCAACTGAGTGCATATGCCAGTGAAGACTGATAGCTCTCCTGGACAGAGGAATCAGTTAATCTGTTTACATCAATCTTGCGGTGCTTCGTGTTTCGGGATCCTCCAAAACACGTACAGATTTTCGCGCAGACCAGTGCATGATCTGAATCAACGAAAGTGGACCAAAAGGACCTGCAGTCCAGTACGCTGCCGCGCCATCTGAAGCTAATCGCAATGTGATCAATTTGAGACCAAGGTTGTGTTGGCGAAGGGGGACGCCAAGTTGCGGAACGTTTCTTCGTACGCCTGAAGCTAGTGCTCGAGAGAAACAGACGGTTGTCCTCGCACAATGTGAGAAGTCTCTCTCCGTTATCAGAGCGGTTCTCATCGAGCGCGTGATGACCACCAAGGTGGCGTTCGTATGGTAACAGGCGGCCAACCCGTGCATTAAAATCCCCAGAAAGGATAACGACATCCGACTTTTTAACATTAGTCAAGAGCTGTTGTAGATCTCGGTAGAAATCGTCCTTGACCGAGTCGCTACTGCAGTCAGTTGGAGCGTATACAGAGATCACAAACAAGTTGCGTCTCTCTTCGCGTTGCCTGTTGATTCTACATGAACCCCGAAGCCGAACTGCACATAGTCGGCTGTTAATCGGGAACCAGTCCAGTAGTGCCGCCTCGGCCTTGCCACTCAGTGCTATACCTACACCAGCCAAACCCGCTGAGCTTGCTTCTGGATCTCCAGAAAGACGCAGGTGATATCTGGCTTCGTGGTCAGTGGGGGATGTCAATGTAAGCACAGTGCTGGGATCTTGCAATCGGGTTTCTGAAAGACAGCAGACATCAATGTCTAGGGAATCTAGGGTGCGCGCTAGACCGGCTTGCTGTCCAATCTGCATGAGTGTCCGGACGTTGAAGCACGCTAGACGGAACGAGGATTGGGGACGAAGGAGAGCCATAGGTTGAATTCCTTGATCTGCGGAGCAACCGGAATCGCAGCCAGATTGTTGAACAGATGAATCGGGTAACCGAAAGTGAGGATTGTTAGCAAACAAACAATTGGCGTGTGATGGAGTAGCGTGAAAGTGAGTAGCAGGAATAGTAGCTGATGAGCGCGTTGTGGTACAGTCCATGGTTTTGTGAGAGGGCGTGATACTACCCGGTTGCCCAAGCCGAAGTAGGGAGTTGACTTAAGGGACTCCACCCCGAGCCTTTGGCTAAATAACCTACCCGCAAGGCAGCGGGGCGAATTTAGGGAATCGCGCCAATTGGGAGGTGTTGACTGAATGATCAGCTCATGCGCCTTTGTTTGGTAGATTACCAAACAGGGGCCCAATACTTCCCATGAAGTCAGCACAATTGCTGGAATACAATGCCCCACGGAGGTGGAACATTGTCGCCGAACACTTTGCTGGAACGGGGTACACCCGAACCACCCAGCTGGCACCACGGGGAGGTAGTTCGGCAAGCCAGCTTATTGGCAACACGTCGCGCACCAAGCAGAAGACATGTGTTAAAATTTGCGCACCTAATCGTCAGCCCTCGGTAGCTCAGGTGGTAGAGCAACGGACCGGAAATTCGTGGACCGGGGTTCGACTCCCCGTCGAGGCATATTATTGTGCGTGAATTTTAATCGTGGCTTCTGCTTTCTTCAAACTTTACACTACTCACAAACATCAACCATTAATCTACCATCGCCCATTGGACGTCTGAAGGACAGGAACTTCGGTCTATTGGGAAGTGACGGGTGAGTGAGCCAATCTGCAACATCAGGACAGGTACTGTGAGCTTATTGGCAACACGTCGCGCACCAAGCAGAAGACATGTGTTAAAATTTGCGCACCTAATCGTCAGCCCTCGGTAGCTCAGGTGGTAGAGCAACGGACCGGAAATTCGTGGACCGGGGTTCGACTCCCCGTCGAGGCATATTATTGTGCGTGAATTTTAATCGTGGCTTCTACTTTCTTCAAACTGACTTGTTGTCTGTTCTTCGTTTTTCTCATTATCGCCTACCCTATACCTTGACTGGTTGGCTTGTCGAACGTTCTCATAGGGCCAGTTGAATACGCTGGGATTATTCCAGTACAACGCATGTGTCGGGGACATTTTCCAGACGTGACGTGATTATCAACACCTTGCTTGCTGTTTAGAGAAGCATTGTGTTCCAGTAAATATTTGTTGATACTCTGCGAAGGATCGAGTATGTGTTTTGCAACCCAGGAGATTAAGTGCTTGTGAATTGAGGACTTATTCACCGGCTCACAACGAGCACGACTCCTGCGCTTTTCTTCTGTTCTTTCCGGGTGGGATGTTAAGCCAAGAGCTCAGAGTGCTATCAGCTATGTTGACTTCCTGCTTCGGCTCACCTAACCAGGTGGTGGTTTCGCTCCTTTCGAAAGACTTGGGTTCAATTATGCCTCGTTTCATGGATACTACATCTTTCGTCACAAATGTCATATGTTCTTCTGTCAATGATTACTGTTTCCTTAGACCCATTTCTAGTAGCCATTTCATCCATGACTCACATCTGTTTTGTATTCACCCTTGCAGAACATATTTTTCTACTCAGGGGACTGGGTATCCGTTGGTTGGGCTACTGAACAAGGGGTGTCACTTCTCGTCCCCGAAGCCCTGGTATCGTGTACCGATCTGAGCCGTTTGTGACATTACCAAGAGGTCCTTCTCCTTAAGTTGGAGGAGCTCGATATCGCTATATGAGTGCGATTCCTTGATGGCTTGCGGAATGACCTGTGCTGGCTTTCAGTCCTTGATAATGCGTGTTTGTAAGGTGTTGCCTGTGTTTTGTGGTAACATCAGTTTTGCAACTACGAGCTCAGATTTCATGTATACTCGTTTCCTCGTGCCGATTGGATTGACTCGAACTCCACCACCACCAGCAACACACAGGGCCACCTTAGTAAAGACCGCGTACGGATAACACGTATAACCTTTAATCCCGTGTGCTCAACGTTTCTTCATTTTGACTTTGGATCTAAGGAGGTAGAACTCCGTTGGCCGACGCATAGAGCAACATAACGAGTATTCATATTCATTGGAGGAACTATTCGCTCACTTGCGTTTACTGGTATAAACTTTAAACATGTCGAGTGAGAAGTGCGTCGTGGATAAACTAGGTCACTTGTTTATGTCTGTCACATATGCTGTACTTTGTGTCTTGATCTCTTTGGCCTGGTTGACTCTACTTCTCTACACTTTAGGCCACTATGACTTTGATTCAAAGTGCATCAGCCCCTTCCATTACCTCCTCTGTGTTTATAAGGGCAAGTGTAGGCTACTGTACTATCCATTCTCTTTAGCTTCTTGGTTGAACCGACAAATACTTGTTTTTCTGTCTTTCCCACATTTTGGGTACATGGAGCACCTAACTCGCTATGCGCTTGACCCGGCAACTATGTTAGCGAAAATGAAGAAGCCAATACGTAATGCTGCGCTATGACGTGGCCTTCGCATCTTCAACTTACAAAGTCTGGTTGCAGAGTCAGACCAGCATCCTCCAAGTTTCCGAGATCGTCGACCGGCAAATCGAAGTGGTCCAACAGTTTACTCATCTAAGTAGCTATTGGTCACATCGCCGATGTCGTTACCGCTCGTATTATTGATGCAGGCGCTTCTGAAGTGCTCAGTGCATCAGTGAGATGGGATATGAGCTTCTCAATTATAGTGGATACACAAGCCACTTTTTACTGTGTGAGAGACACGACTACTAGGCACTGAGGACCTTCAGAGTCTAATCGTGTTCGACCATGATGGTTGTGCCACCAAAGCACTTTAGGTGGAGTTTTGAAACGAGACTTTTGTCGATTTGACACTATGTTGGCAGAGGACGATTTAATAGTTATGTGATATTTAGACCCCGTTTTGCGCATTGTGTGGGTCAGAAACATAACCACTCTACATTGCTTACCTTAAGTGACTGGGGGCGTTCGATCACCAGTGCTTGCGTAGTACAGCTCACGTCTGATACGAGCAACAACTTAACCACAATGAAATCCACTGGTTGGTTTCTGGAAAGAAATCTTTTGTTACAGTACTGAAGTGCTCGCTGAGCTGTCTCTGTATATGGTGGCATATCCCCCATATGTCCGTTCACCATCTTTCTATTGCTACATCTAGTTCTGCAAAACCACGTGGTAGCCAGTGGACGACGTGACCGACAGATATGAGAAATAGTCAACTGTTGATCAGGTTGGTTCTCTCTATGGCTAGTTTCTTGAGTCTTGGTCGCATCAGTGATTAGCGACCTCACCTAGCACTACTTTATAGTCACCGGCTCAGTATTTCCCTGCCTCATTTGTTTTATTGCATCCACCTGTTATTTCTACATCCCGATTACTTTTGCTCTTTTGCTTCTTATCCCAATTTCTTTGTTTCATTTGGGTTCTATCCCATTCACCTCACTTCTGCTGCTTTTCATAATTTTTGTGACGTGAGTCGTATTAACTGGATGCACCGCTCTTTGCTGCTCAGCGCAAAGCTTTTCAACTGCAACTTGAATGATTATGCACGCTGTTTATCAAGCTTAATATGAAGTGGAACATGAACTTCCATTGTTTCGCAAATTTCTGCTTTTTCCTGAGCATCCTCTTATTCACCGCTGCACGTTTTACTCAGGCCGGCAGTGAAGACTGTGAATACCGAATCGGATTTCGAAAGAAATGCCACTTTCTTCTCTTCAGATCCGTTCTTTGTGTTTATTGGTGATAGCGACTCAGAGTTGAAGGTGAGTGTCAACTTTTCGCCTTCATATCTTTTTGTATTCATGAATGTTACTGCGCGACGGACCCAGCTCAAGGTTACTTTTGCCCTTTGTAGACGCTTGGTTGCTTTACCTGTTATATGTATTTCAATGTGGAATTGTAATTTTGACTTATTACCCGAATTTCCCCTTTCTAAGACTGTTCCCCATAAAGGGTCACATCAAATTGCACAGTTATTGTGTTCATCTATTGATGTAATGCTTAGGATGTAACACTGTATGAGCTAATGTGGTTGGAAATTACCTGATCTTTTTATTAAACCCAGTGGAGTGGAGCTTGTAACGTTTTGATCACGATGAGATGTGCACAAATGATTTTGTGCTCATCACTTGGTGACACCTTGGTTCAGCCCTTGCGATTACGGTTGGGAATTTGCCGACGTAAACGTTTGTGTTTTCTATTTAATCTTACATTGACCCAACTATCTTCGCTCTCTTTTAGATTGTTTAAACTTGGCGAGAGTCGCATCTCGTAGCTGTTTATCGAAACCCCCTACCGTACCCCATAACCAGATCCGGTATTCATGTACGGAATAGATGTTTACACTGCACAGGACTTTATACCGATGCACCATTTTTGGTTATTATCTGCTCCGGTTTGTCAGAAGGCTTTACTTATCCCAGGCTCGCGTTCGCTTCTCACCTCGATTCTCACCTGATTCACTTCAGGCTGAACTATTTCTGAGCTATCCGTTCTGCACCTTCAAGTGTCATCAAGTGCCCTGCTCATCGGCGAACGCCCTGGACGGTGCTTAATCGGTCGACTGTCTGCGTGTCTGCATGTTTGATAGGTCCACCTATCTCACTCCGTTCATATCGATTGGGCATTTTTTTCTTGTTACTCCTGCGTTTTATTTACTTGGTCGCCTAAGTATGAAGAGTGCGCTCCAGAGCGGTGCTGGAGCCCACTGCTTGGATACATCTCGAATTTTATTTAGTCACCTTTTACACAGCCTACACCTTTATTAAGTAGGCCATGTATTAAATCAGTTACACCCGGTCCGTTCGAGTCCTGGTGATTGCCAACAGTACGCACATTGTTAGACTCTATTTGGTTAGTATACATCCTGTAGATGGCTCGCGGATCATTGTGTCGATTGAGTTGGAACCACGCCGGTGTTCCCGATGAGATTGGTCTTCTCCCTTTATACACTGCAAAGACAAAAGAAACCCTACGATGTGGAAGGCTTGGAGCAAATTGAGCTCACTAATCACTGCAGCAACATGCATAAGATAACCTGATCAAAAAAGGCTACCTTAGTTGATGCGGATGTTTATCATGTTCCCTTTATAGAGGTCCCCTTGTGGAGTGGGTAGATCAGTAAACAGTAATGTCCAGTGTTTGTTAAACCCTGATGTCAGTTCGTTGGACGTGACCCTATTCTGTGGTGCTTTAAGGCGACCTCTGAATGGCACTGGTCTCCGAGACCGTGTTCTCCGGATCTGTGAGTATTTGACACATTAGCAACTTGTCTCTGGCTTTTCTGAGTTGGATGATTTTCATTTGTTTTCTTTCGCAAATTATTTGGCCACATGCCATTATCGGAGGAGACCGAATTCAGACCTATTCAATGAGGGCACATTTTTGATGGTAGAGTTGCGGGTTGTACGATTATCTGTACACGTGCCTTGAACTTTCCGTTGTTGCATACTTGTGTACCACCGTTTCATCCTTCAGACTACGTATCATCAAATCGCCGAACAATTTCGTCTTCTCTCTTGGTTCCTTTCCGCACCTCGAATCGCATTACCCGAGGTGAGTAGTTTAAGCATGTTTCTCACTTTCGGCTAATGTGTTATGATGATGATGCTGATGATGAGGCGAGTAAGGCGGAGGGGAATTGATTTCTGACCCACTCTGTTACTGTCATTTGTCTGAACTCTCCTCGGTATTGGAGTGCCACTACCACGTCTAGTTGTGTGTGAAACCCCGGGGTGGTCATTCATTAAGATTTTCAGGTCCTCATGGTTGTATGGCAGCGAAGGATCAGTTCAGTTGGCTGATGTACTGCTGTTGATGATGATGACGACGACGATGATGATGATGATTCGACGATGTGGGAAAGGACATGTAGCGACTCATCCGAATCAGCTACATCATTAGTTGAACAACTTATCGGATACGACACAGTCGCGAAGTCATTGGCTTACTACCATGCCTTCTAGTTGTTTCATTTCTTGCTCAGTTCTCCTTATCACACAATATTATTGTTTCGATGAAATGGATTAAGACAACTAGATCCATCGCACCTCAGTGCACGGGTCAAAGTGTACGAATAGAAATGAACTGCACTACCCCTTTACATCTCCTCCTTTGAGTATTGTCACACTGATTTTCCATTCAAGCTATAGCTCTGGCCGGTCCCGTCCATTTCTTACAGTACATCCTTCAGTTACGTTGCGCTTTTTTCAACTATTTCACTGAGTTCCTTCAACACATGGATCCCATCCAACTAGTGTTAACTATTGATCCTCCTCCAGTTTTACTGGTACTGTCCATTTAGCTTACTCCAGCTCCAATCTCCCCATACCCAATATCATATTCGCCATCTACTGGTGGGTGTTTTGAAAGTTACAGGTCACTGCTTCATTTCTGCTTAGGGGCGGGCGATCTGGCACCGGGCCGTTGATTGTTGTACAATGGTTGGTTGTACAATGGTACAATACACCAGCGTACTGTTAATGCCCTATCTGACCATTGACTAAACATATTTTTCCCTTTCACTGGCAGCGTTTTTCCAGTTTTGTGGGGCTCATTGACCCATTGGAATCTTCCCTTGTGGTTTTCAAAGAGGATAGCGCAATCCCATATCCTGGATGGAGTGGTGAGTCTTGCTGCGTTTTCATCGGAAACCAACAATATTTATGCTCTTCCGACCCACCGCTATTTAACGATATCATTCAGGCGCTTAAATAAGTGACAAGCACATTCCTTTCTCATCGGGGTATATCTTATTTGCTTTTACCAAATCGATTTCGGTGGGAATCCGGACCGGCAAAGTCTGTTACAAGTAAGGGGTTCCGGTATCAACGGCGACATGATCCCAATCCTGGCAACTTTCTCACAATGAGCTGACAGACAAGCGTGCTAAACACAAGCGACTTAAGAAAGCGGTGAGCTGTGATATATCGACACCTCTGCCAACGACTCCGCTCCACTAGTCTTCGAAGCTCATCAATCATTCGGATAGTCAGCAAATGCATCGAAGCTTCGCTTTACAGTAGGGATTGCCACTCGAATCTTTGATTGGAGAGCTTTCAATGATCATTTCCATCTGTCCCCTTCATCCGAGCGCTTCTTACTTTGCGGTTTGGCCTGTATCTGGTCCCCACTATTTTTTTCATGCATCGCTATCGCGGTTGAATTTTTTTAACCAGAGACTTGATTCCCCTTCGTATAGATCTTCCGGCCAGTTGGAACCACCACATTCGTTGGTAGAGTGGCGACACTTTTGCATCAAGCAGATGTGACTTCAAGAGCTCATTCCACTCAATTAATCGGCCCGTTTTTCTTGTGGTACTTGATCGGAAGCACATTTTTGTAATACGCACGAGAATTCTACATGCTCTACACTCAATTACCTTAAGTCGCGTCAGATTTCATGGTGAATTGACTGACGTTTCTCCGGAGGAGGATAAAAACAGTTAACTGAATATCTGAGTCCATCGACTGACTTGGGTGATTGTGATTTGGTTGTAAGAATTGTTGGTGCTTCTACTCACTCCTGCGTCATGACCTTTCTGCTCGGGGTTGCAAATCACATACCAAGGAGGTATACAGTGTTGCTCATCCCAACACGGGCACCCCACTTACGGTCTTTTAGATCGGAATGGCCGAGGTCCACCTCAAGTGAACCGAAGCCTCAATAGAGGTTGCTTGTAGCAACCCAAGCACCAGCGGATTCTCCAAGTCCACCTTTGAGGTATGCAGTGCTTTATGCCAATTTGTCTTTCAGTGTGGGTGCAGGGGCTGCGAAACCCCCTTACTTTCTGCATTCCCCACTTTGATCGCTGGACCTGCTTATGGTTACTTTTGCTCCAGGCAACCTGTGTCATTGGGGCTATTCGTGCTCACTATGAGTTATGAGTTATGACATACAGAACGGCTACGACTCACTTATGTTGCCGTAGCCAATTTAATCAGCCTTGTGTTTCTTACCCTGGAGGTGTCATAGTAGAAACAACCTTTTAGCAGCAGGCAGCCATACGGGGCGGATGCTGACAGCCGAATCAAGGGCTGTCTTCAACCAGGAGTTCAATTATGGTTGTTTATCCACGTGTATTAAGTATTGTCCCATGATTACAGATCAGTCTGCGTTTCACTGATTTGGGCCATTACAGCTTCTGCTTTAGAGAAAATAGCTGTTTTCGCTACAAGGCTCCTTTGAAGACATGGAGAATTTGTGATACCCACGAGTACGTATCTTAGCCTTTTCTCTTTTATCTAATCGGCTAGACAAATCACTTGCCAATCGCCACCGCCTATGTGCAATGCTATAGAATACTAGTCATTACTTGGGAGCTTTGCTACCTTATAGTGGCGACGTTTTGTACCGAGTTTTGTCCAGTTTTCCAATTCAAAGCCTCACCCATGGGATGTTCGTACTCTTTGTTTTCGCATTATTTCCATTTTCACTGAGTTTCTGCTGGAGTTAGGTTTTGCTAGATTAATCAGTCCTGTCCATGTATCATGACAGCGTTTGCGCAATAACATTTGTGAACATCGACTTTCGTCGATTTGTGCATTAGCCGGACGACTGAGCGCATCTCTTTTGTGCATGCGGTGATTGTTTAGCTGTGTGTACCTGGTCTCACTCGAACTCCCCATTTTCCACTGACTATATTCATTAGTTTGCTTTTATCACCCATGTATAACTCTCATTTGGAGCAATCACCTAAACTCGCTAACCACGGCCTTAACTCGCGATATCAATTACCTTTGGCTGCTACGGGATCCTGTGATTTTCATCTCCCAGAACCAGTGCACTATTCCTTGATGTTCAAGCAAGAAGACGCTATTCCTCATTCACCATCATGTCATAGCGATCGGGAATTTTCTTGGCACACGTTACTACAATGTGGTCATTGTGTGTGTGGCCTATTTCGACTCCTGTTTGTCCATCTATCATGCTGTGCAGCAGGCTATCTACTCTATGATTTTGCATCCCTGGCATATAGAGATATGGGTTTTAAATGCACTATCAATGGGTCTGTTCTCTCGTTTTCCCGATCTGTATCTGTTCTCCATCGGTCTGTCGACAACCTTAACGTCGCACGCGTAGAACCATTAAAAATATTTCCTGGTATCGTGGGTATCATTCTGTACGTTGCGGTCATCAATGTCGCGTCGGGCCGCTCTGATTGGCCGTTTGAAAACCTCACAGCTCCTATTCGCCGATCAAAAAGCCAAGGTTGCAGATACCAGTTTAATGTACGGCAGACCCGAGACAATTACACAGCGTAGACTACCGATATAGATGTGTTCCTGATGACTCTCCTGAATGTAACTCTGCTCTCCCCTACTCTACTTACCAATAATATTCTTAGATTGTTCGAGAACGTACTTTTTGTCAACCTGTGGGGTTATTCTACTTAATTTCTGGAAAAAGATTGAAGTTTCGCTCGTGTAAGCTACACTAATCCATTTTATAGGAGGTGCTCCTCCTGACACTATTCAACTGAGTAAATTTCGCATAACGCAGCTAGTTTAGATGCCAATGCTATCGGCGATGCGTCATTTGCTTATGACCATGCTTTTACTTATCTTTATTATGAGCTACTTCTTGCTGGTAACATGATTAATGCACTCCTTTTGTCGAACGAAATAGCTTTTAACAACGTGTTGCTTTGTCACCTTTTTAAGGCTTTTTGACTAGCCTTTTTTGCATCCTCGATGACCCACTGCATTTCATGCTCGGCTTTTATGTTGTCTTTAGTTTTCCTCAAGCTAAATCAGGCTGGGGTCTCTTGACCCCTGTATAGTTTGTGAGCGCATATCTTGCTTTTGAATTACTTCAGAAAACAATACCTCATCGCTTGTATTTGTGAATGCACTAACCAGTGTGTTACCCGACCGTTTTCAGCTGTCCCGGAAGATGACAGGCGTCAACATTTGACCGAGTGGATTCTGCGAGAGCGCTTTCCCATGTTCCAGCGGTTTGAGCTCCCTGGCATTTGGGAGTTTGGCTCCTCTGAGCTCTCTGCTTCCGCTAACCGGGGCTCGACTACGGACTCCAATGATCTGCCTCCTTACCGTCTAATCGCTTTGTTTCTTGTCCGCGCGTCAAGCGAAAATGCCATGACCACCAAGTAATTTCTGTTATATTCCCGCCACCTGATTCCTACAAATTTTGATCTATCGACTAATGGAACAGGATTTGCTCTTGTATTTTATTTGTCTTCTTTGGATGGCTGTCACGATCGTCTAATCACCTGATTCCACTCGATGCGTTGATTTACTGGGGTGTCTCTACACCGATGCACGATAGGCACAATTGTCATAACTCACTTTAACATGTTAAAGCAAAACATTCTTGACTTGAAAACTACACAATATTACTCATGAGTGAGAGGATTTTGGTTATAATTCTAATGTCTTCGTTCCAGCAGCTTACAAGCTACGTAGCACAACCTAGTCCGGAAAAGCGCCAGACGCGTTTCGCCCTATTGGGGCTCGTCAGTGGTGCGCATTTCCTTGGTCCGCTACTGGGGACCGAACCCATGACCGCTAGAGGCAGATGTCAACTAGCCAGCAGCTTAAGCCATTGATGCATGGGGGACATTGGTTGGGCTACATAATTTGCAAACCAACTGGGCACGACCTATTTTCCACTGACATGCAGGTTACTACCATAGCAGGTGACAGTACCTAACCTCCGAAGGCCATGACTTCCTCTCATTAGACGCTACATCTATATCCTTTGGGACGAAAACACTAAAATTACCACTAAACTCCTACTCATGAGTCACATAAAAGTTATAGCTTCTAGTTTAAAATGCTATGGACGTAGCGTCTAGTGAGAGGAAGCCATGACCTTTGGAGGCTAACTACTGTCATCTGCTATGATAGTAACCTGCGTGGCATTGGAAGATAGGTCGTGCTGTATCCCAGTTAGCTTGCAAATTATGTAGCCCAGTTGACATCTCCCATGACTCAATGGCTTAAGCTGGTTGGTTAGTTGGCATCTGCCTCTAGCGATCATGGGTTCGGTCCCCAGTAGGGGACCAAGGGAATGTGCACCACTGACGACCCCCAATGGGGCGAACCGCATCTGGTGCTTTTCCGGACTGGGCTGTACTATGTAGCTTGTGAACTACTGGGACGAAAACATTAAAACTACGCAATAGTTTAATAGGCCTCCGGCCATCAGTTTTGCCGGTTATTGACCCCACGCACCCTATTGTTTCGCATCTAGGTCGCTTCCCGACCACACTGATGCTCCATCCAGAAAAACACAGGCTATAGTTGATCTTGCACAGGGCATTACCTAACCGACATAGACCATTTGAATTCATTGGATGCTCCTATGCACCATAATGTATGTTACCGAGCACTAACTTGCGCCTATTGCCACTTCTCATTGTGTTCTCCCACCGGACATTGAATGTGCATCCGTTACCATCATTTCCCGCTGCGACTACGCCTCCAGCTCATATCTAATGACGCTTCTGAGGCTTCCTGTGGTTTCTCAGACGACTCAACGGCACACCACCGTTAGTATTTTAACTTGAGCCACCGATAAACAAAAGAACATCCTAAGGTAACTTTCGCTGCATTTGGATTTATTTTATCTATTATGTCAAGTTTCGAAAGATAAGCAAAACACGAAGCTTTGAGCAAATAATTGTTTTCGATTACTTCTTCATCAGACTCATACAGTAATATACATTATGTTAACGTCTGTTGCAATCGTTAGTGTAACAAAGAAACAATTGATCAGAAAATTTAACTTGTGATCATGATGACCTTCATCTGATCACGTGACTGAGGTCAGGTGAATTTGCGGAGTACCATTGCTTCCTTCACGGCTGGTGGTCGGCCAGGGAAGTTGTAGTGTTTGTATTAGTTTCTTCTGAACACACAAGTCCGGATTTGTTAGACGTATGCATATTGCCTCAGCGATGGCGAGTATGCTTGCTCAGACGATGATTTTGTCTTGATGGTATTTTGTAGAGAATTTGAAAGGCTGTTCGTTTGTCTATCTGGTGACCTGTGTTTATTAGATGGTTTGTAATCGCAATGTAGTTTGTTCTATTCTCCCGGTTGTAGAGCCAACCTGGCAGGTGTTCCTTAATTCTCTTACCTAGATGCCTGGTCGTCCGTCCAACGTACCTGGCCCCGCACGGGCAAGTGAACCGGTAGATTAACATCGATTGGAGATGATCAGGCACTCGGTCTTTGAATCTCGGAACTAGTAAAGGTCTGCTCGTGAAAATCACATTCAGTTGAACCGCATTAAAGGTCTTTTTGCAGCTTTGCTGTAGTCGGCGTGTGCATGTCTCAGCCGCACTATTTCCTTTGAACACTTCCATTCATGAGTTGTCTCAGCTTGTCATCTATTGAGTGGAGTATATTCATTACTCACGTGGCCAGCAACAACTGTTATGCATACCTACATATTGACCCCGAGCACATTTTCTCACAATTGTTCTTTCTCAACAGGCTTTTGCAAATGGGCAAATCGTTAGCAAAGCGGCGTGTACCCTACCTAACGAAGTGAGCCATTCGTGATTGCTTTTTGCTATAAACTACTTTGCATCAATTTGAGGAGCACGAATTACTTTGAACCTTTTAACCACCGTCCAGGTTAATGGCAGATATACTGAACCCAACTACTAGTACAACCTTCTCGCCCTGATCGCATCTTCTTCAAGCGAGCTTTGACATCACACTCATTCAACCACCTGTTCACGTGTGATTTTTGACTTTATGAGTCTTACTCTGTACCACATCCTACTCCACACCGCATTGTTATCGATACTGTCCAGGACACTTGAGAGTATTGTACGTATCGAACAAAAACAATCGCCTTCTTATGCCTGACGCGCGATTTCCTCAAAACCAATCAAATCTACTGACCATATTTGCGAACATTTCTTTTCTGTTCCGTTGACCAATCATTGTGGCATCATTCCACGTGCGCGGCAATTTAGATGAAGCATCAGCATTCATGCATGAGACCGGGCACACTCAAGCTAAGCCCTGCAGGGAACGTTCATATGCTTCTCTGTTAGACAAATCAAAGCATTTTTGGCAGCATCCAAACTCTTCCGACTAAAACAGTTTGAGCAAGCGGTTGTCGTGTGTGAAACCACTTATAATGTCAATTTACCGAATGTTCGTTGTTCCCTAGTATGGTCGATACTCTGTCGACGTTTGTCAAATTTACTGTCACTTCTCTGTTTTATTGTTCCTCTCCTGTTGCCTCACCATCACTCCTTAAATTCTCTACCGAGTGGCGACACCGCATGGATCTCATGATTGTTTCTTTTTGGTGTACCCGTGACTGCAAGAAGCCCATACGCATATCGCACAGTTCGTATTCCGGTCTCATTACCTCTTGCAATAGACAAGAAGCAGCGATGTGCGACTAAACCAATTCTCCATTAGTTTCCATTAGCGTACCACCAAAGTTATACCATTTATCTCTCAAATCTTGTGTACATTCTTTTGTAATAAACAGCAAAACACGATTACTGTTTTTTACGCTTTATTGCACAAAACACCGAGAAACATCGGTACATACATTTCGATGCAAGTTGCCTAGTGCATAATCCACCTACAAACTGTGCGTCATTGCCGAACTTTTGTTACTACGTATGCCTGCAAAACGGTGGATGTTTTCACTTTTCACTGGCCATTGAACGTTTTTGATACGGCATACCTGACTTGTACTGTGAAGTATTGCTTGAAATTGATGCAACTATTATCGATTTACGTTACTATCCATCTATTAAGTTACAGATCATGTCACATTATGGCGTACCTTTTTCATACGAGAATAAACATTTATTTGTTTTATTTACGATATAACCTTTTGACATATCGGTTCAAACTCTACTTATTTGCATGCGGGTCTACTAGATTAGACCAACCGCTCTTTTCTTAGGCTTGCTAGCCCTAAGGAATTATCGCCTCCATCACGCCTGAGTGATATCTGGCCCTTGCTCTTTTTCCATAGAATGCATTTTGTTAAACAAACAGTACTCGACACTTCAGAACTGTTCCCGTTTTCGGTGTAACATCTCCTTGGATGGTGCCTCAGATGAAATTCACACATGCTCGCTCTTGTTACTACTTTGCCTTCTTACTGCTTGTGGGATTTTTGATGTAACTACTTGACGGTTTTCCACAGTAGCTAGCTAGCCCAAAAAGCAATGGACTACCGTTTCGTCTTATCAGGGCTTGTCAAAATTACGCACTCCTCGGCCCTACTTGGAACTTGCTCTATGGCATCTCGACACTACCGGCTTGCGCCACGAGCCACCAGAGTATACCGGTAAGACGTAGATAACGGTAGCAGACTATAGTGACTTGGAAGCCAACTGCAATATGGCGCGGCTTGACCTCCACTGTTATGCAATTTGCGAACGTTGCGAGGAGCGATGACCCTGGACTCACGGCTTTCTACAACAGCATCTACATACGTCCCGACACTCGGAAACTGTTACGGTGGACATTCTGATTATTTGTGTTCAACATATTGTTGATGTAAATAAAATACGAGTGAAATGTTTCTTCCGTGCGCTCTTCAGACACTTTCATTTCGGATGGGCCGACACCACCTCAGAGCTGGCTGACTTCGCCATGGTCGATTTGCCCGTTCCCGGCCTCGTTGTCGTGGATCCGGTCACACGTGATTTCTACTTGCACTCCACTCAGCCCTTAAACACTCTGGAGGAAGATGTATTTATCAGCTTCCTACATTCCGTTTCCAAAGGAACAATTCCAGTAAGTTATGGTGCAGCTATTCATTAACCCATTGATGTACTTACACTCTTGGGTCCGCAACAGTGAAGTGCACAGACTAGCAATTTGCGTTGGATTAACCTTTAAGACGGGATAGACTACGTTTGTTCGGCACGTGTCGCTTACATCTACTTTGTCTCGTTGGCCTGATCTGAAATGGTTCAGCGTTCGAGACGGGGCATTCTTAGCCTGTAGATGGGAAGCGAGGTTCCAGACGCTAGGTTGGGTTCTGTTGTTCCATCTCATTTTGTTCGGTTTACGATACAATGTGGTATAGCTCTCATCTGGCGCTGATGGCATCTTTTCTATTTTCTCCTTACTGGACTACTTGTTTAAACTCCTTCGGTGTTGTGTGGGCTGTAACGTAAGGTTGATTTTAACGTGAGACAGTCTCGCGGATACCACCATATCTCCATACCCTGGCCTATATTAGTGACCGATCATTGTTTGGGAATCGTAGTCATGTTCCGAAATTATTTTTCAGTGCGTAGTTGCATGACAACGAAGCACACCAGTCCAGGGACTACGTGCTACTGCTGTTACTGTTATTGCCATTTTTACTTTGACGATTTTCACTGATTAACCGAACAATCTCACTCGCCACAGATGCAATGCAGGTACTTTAGTGCTAGTGATGTGAACGCTATGGCTGGAAAATTACCCAACGGTGAGCTCCATCTGTGGTGGCTAAGTCAGTGTGGGCTTCTGTACTGGTGGTCGGTAGTTAGATCTATGGGTTAAGATGCTCATCTATACCTCGCCAACACCCGCTGGAAGGTGACATGGCTCCCACATGCTTCCGACCATTTAATGGACCACAACACGATCACTTATCGTTGTAGAAGATGTGTTCTCGACCGTTTCAACTCCCACTCGATTTGGAGTCCAAGCATTGTATATTCTGATTTGTGAGTGCGTTTCGGTGAACGTCTGCGACGACGCTGTGAGTGCATAGACACTTTCCAACTGGCGTAGCCGGATTTCCTGAATGCGTGTAAAACTACGCAGGCATTCGCGTTGCGAATGCTGTCACTGAACGCAGTCTGAGGTCACTACTCGCACTGTCCCAATAGACTGGAGCTGTTCCGTTATTATCCCAATTTTTAAAGAGGTTAACGTTCGGACTACGACAACCAGATCTCGATTTTCGCTCGTCATTATTCAAAGATTAACTTACTCGTGATGGCCGATTCGTATTGATCGCAACGAATCTAATCTAAATCGAGGCTACATTGACCATATCTTCACTTTACGTCAGTTGTTGGAGCATTGTGACATATATTTTCGTCCCACCATAGCCGTGTTCAACAGCAACAATGGTGCCTTCGATTCATTGAACCCATGTGTCCTGTGGAAGTGTCTGATTATGAAAGTTCTGCTCGAGGTATACGTAAACATGCTCCGAGCGCTTTACCGGTATAGTTCGGGCAGAGTGAGAACTTATGACAAACTCTCCACCTTTCAAATCTTTAACCTTGCGACACAAGTGTAATTTCTGGCACCATTTTAGCTTCGTGACTCATGGACTTTGACTACGCCAACGATATTGCCCTATTCTGTGACAGGTCGCTGAGCCCTGTCTCACCTACTTGTGAATATACCAATTGAATATGTGTCAACCAACACTGAATAGATTAGTACTGGCTGTCAATCCTTTCGGTCCGTCGTTTTCACCCTTAAATTCAGGGCTTTTCTCTGGGATTGACAGTAACTACTTCCTGAACCACTCGATCTTGTGGATCAATTAGTAGTTCAAATATTTAACTACCTGCACGCCCATGTAGTCGAATCATACTACGTACCATATAACAAAAGCTCCTGGTCCTTTGGCTCAAATTCACCACCTATGGCGCCGGGGCGACATCACTCACCTTGAAGGGTGCAGTCTAAAAATACGGCCATCCGTTCAACCCTGCTGTACGATCGTGAAACCCCACCCATCAAGTCGCCTACATAAACAAGCTAGTTACAAACCTAACCACCCGGTTCTTTCCTATTTAGGCTCATGTCCGGTGGAACACCGCGTTAGGAATGAACGTGTTCAACGCCTTGATTTTTTGCTAGAAGAGCAAGTGAACCTTTCAGCACTGTTATTTCACGCCACAGACTCAAAAGACTGGGACATGTGCTACGCATGTCCGTAACCCGTATCCTGCAACATGCGTTGTTTGCACGACTAAATCTAGGTAGAAGAAGAGCAGAAGAGGCCAGCCGATGGCTTGATCAGGAAGAATTAAGATTTTTATTTCGACATTGACCTTGGGTATACTCACAATTCCTTGATTGTGGCTAGACTCTGTTGTGAACATGGCCAGGAGCCCGCATCGCTGGCCTTCGGGTTGTGGGTTTCATTGTCGCTCCTCACCCTGCTTTGACTCTTTCTCTGTCCACGATCTCATTCACAACGCAAAGCTCACATCGAAACATAACGTCTTTTAGTTCTTTTTTGCTTTTGTTTTTTGTATTTTTCCTTCATTCTTTTTACTCCTCTCTGGTTTGATCGTGTTAAGGAACAATAGCTGAAGTGTCTCTCACCCCTAGCTACCATGTCAAGTGGTAATGATAGTTATGGTGTGAACAGGCTGTCTGGTCTTGAGAACCCTACGGTGGCAGAGATGGACTTTATCCTTTCAGAAAATATTTCCTGGGATTGACTTCTTTTTGATCGAAACAGTTCGCTCCCGTTTCCTCTATTCACCTTTACAGTTAGTGGGGTCAAACTTCCGCTGTTTTCTGATAGACGACCCGACTTGTGTGCATTTACTATCTCCTTTCACTCTGTCAGCTGAAATTTGTGCGTCCTTGCGATGCGAATCCATTAGAATCACGTTACCATACCCAACAGCGATTAGTAAGAGCGAGAAACAGCAACGCCAGACAAACTGTTCATTTTTGGATCCTTAGAAACTGACGGTTTACCCTCCGGATATATATATATATATATATATATATATATATATATGTATATCGGCGGGAAAGCCCATGGTGCGCTGACGCTGGTCGTGGCTAGATCCTGACAGATGGTCTACCCACTGCTGCTACTGTTGTGCCATGGGCTCATGTCCTGGACGCCTCATCGTGGCGACCACTGCGTGGGAGTTGGGTTACGCCCTTCTCCCTGCTAATATCCAGGACACCAATTCGCATGAATCAGTGAACTGACCATGTGCTAGACCCGCTGCCTTTCGGGTGTACATTTAATCGAAGGCTTTGGCTGAGGACCCGAGTCGTTCTCCTGTCAGGTGTGGGCGCCCTGCCAGTATCCTAATCCATCCTTTTCGGAGGTTAGAAAGTGGTTGATTGTCCTCTTCCTGTAAAACCTAGCCATGGGAGACAACAGGTATACGGGTTATAAGCTCACAGCTCGATTGGCGTAGAGCACGAGCGCCACGCATTGTCTCTGACGGTGGGAAGACACCTCCGGGTGTTCAGTGGTTTACTACTGCGAGCCTCAAGCCAGGCAGCCCTTGGTCAAATTGGTGCAAACCCGCCAAAACCTACCTGCGTCTGGCCGTGGTCGCAGATGTATCCTACTACGGTCGCAAAACATAGCAATCGTTCCAGTACCTCAAAGACTGCGTGCGACGGCCATCAAGCAGATCTCAATCTATCCCTACTATCACTTTCCCGAGCTGGATCTGCTCCCCACTGCCTTGTGGGTCAGCTTTTGCGCCAAAGGCTCCGGACGGAGTCACTGAAGCAAACCTTCCAAGCAGAACCACCACCTCGCGTGCGAATGCCCACCAATGCAATCGTATGCCTTCGCGCAAAGTACTCATCATCGCGTACTGGAACTTGCTGACACTACTGCACCGGAACTCCAGTGAGCGCCCGGAGCGACGCACTGCACTGGTCGTGATGGAACTGGCGCCCTACCACATCGATATCGCGGCGCTTAGTAAGACTCGGCTCGCTGAGCAAGGTGAGTTGCATGAAGCAGGTGCTGGCTACACATTCTACTGGGTGGACAACGCCGCCTCAGCACCACGTAAACATGGGGTCGGATTTGCAATATCCGATCGCCTCCATGGCCAGCTGGTGGGTGAACCAACAGGCATCAGCGCGCGACTGATGACTGTTCGCCTACGACTCAGAGGAGGTAAGATTGCCACTTTTATAAGCACGTACGGTCCTGATGACACGCGTGATCAATTCTACACTCAGCTATGCTGCGTGATACGGTCTGTGCCGAGGAGTGACCGACTATTTCTACTGAGTGATTTCAACGCGCGCGTTGGGCGTGATGCATCGGTGTGGACAGATGTTATCGGTCGGCATGGCATTGGTCCAGCGAATGCTAAAGGAGACAGGCTGCTCTCACTGTGTGCCACTCACAGGCTGACGATCACGAACACTCGGTTTGCACTGAGTGCGAGTGATATAGCAACTTGGACGCACCCAAGGGATGACCACGCTCACCTTCTTGACTATGTCGTCGTACATCAACGTGATATGCGTGAAGCGCGCATGACACGTGTACTGCGTGAAGCTGAGTGTGGCACCGATCACAAATTGGTGCGGACCAAACTGTAGCTATATTTTCGTAAATCAATGTATTGCACTCCCGCCGTGAATCGGCGTAAATTTAACATTCTCTCCCTCGGAACTGTGGAGAAACGTACTGAGCTGAAGAAGGCGATGGTTCCACGCCTGTGTGATGTAGACTGCATAGCCACTGTGGGCGACCTGTGGCACCACATTCGCGGCCAGGTGACAGCTGCTGTCGAGGAGACCATCGGACGCGCAAACTGTAAGCGGCCTGATTGGTTTGATGAGAACAATGCGACGATTGCCGCATTGGTGTCGGAAAAGAATGCAGCATTTGCTGCACATGTGGCAGACCCCAGTGACTTGGGAAAGAGTAGTCAGTTTCGCGAACTTCGACGGCGACTGACCCGTGAGCTCCGTCACATTAAAAACGCATGGTAAACGGTGAAGGCGAAACAGATGGAATGCTACGCCGAACGTTGCCAACACAAAGA